TTTTTAAGTCTGTAAAAAAGAAGTTTTTGAGGAAGAAGAAGAAGTAGTATTTTTTTTATTTTTTTTAGATTTTAGAAACTCAGAAGCTGATCAAATATCGGGTTAAATATTGGTGGGGTGGCCGATGTCCGATATTCAGTTTTAAGGCCGATACCGATAGGGGGCCCATTATATCGTGAATCCCTAAAAACTACTGAATTTAAATGTATCATATTGACAGAATTGAACTGGGTTCAATGTTTTTGATGTAAATGTTGCACATATTTAGGAAAACATTTAAACCTGTAACCTTTCTTAGCTTTTTTTTCCCTTTTTTTACATCCTAAAAATTTCCGACTCCTTTTAAAAAAAAAAATCATCAACTGTTTTTGCAACATTTTCTACTAATTGTGAACAAAAATGACAAAACCCAGACAATTTATGACTTATTTATATTTATAAGTTTGTAGTTAAATCATTTCTTCAAAGCAGCTATCGGCCAATAAAGGTGTCATAATGTGATAAAATTTGGACCTGTTGCAAATTTCGACTCCAGTCGAGATGAAAAATTCTTTAATGTCATTGTAAAGACTAAAAAATGAAAAAATGTGAACCTTTAGTACTAAAAACACACTTTAGATTAGTTTGCGTCACTGGCAATCAGCTCTGGCCCAAAGTGGCGGTCGGCGGGCCTCTCGCCTGTCCCTATCTCCCGCTGTCTACTCTGCAGACGTCCTTTCTTATCACCAGCAGTCTCTGACAGAGCAACAAAGGCTGGAACAGATAGTTTCCGCCAGGCAGCTGTGAGACTGTGTGTCAGGGAGCAGAAAAAAAAAGAAACCCCTCAGAATTATCTGCTGAACTTTAAACACTAAAACTAAGCAGCCATTTTAGCTGCTAAATGTTTCCTCACTTACTGAACAGGAAACCCCCCCCATCAAGCATAATTTAGCTCATTGTGTTTGCCTTAACACCTCCAGCCTATCCGATCCCTCACAGGCTACAGTAAGACCACTATAATGAGCTCATGGTTGGTTTTAAAACGGCAGCAGATGGTCGGCCAAAAATCTCATCCTGTTTAAGTAGCCGAACAATCTGGAGACGTTTTTAAACCTCGTTATATTACGTCTTAAAATGGGAAACCAGACCTGGAAAACTAAAGAGTGGATTTTGTTCTATTCTTGCTGCAAAGAAGCAAATGTTTTGTAAATGGAAATATGAAAAAACAAAAATTAAATTCAGAAATAAAACTTTGAAAAAGAAACTCTGAGGCTTTAAGTAACTTTGTTGTTTTTATTAGACTTGATCAGGGCTGAAAGGATTAATTGAATTAATCGCGATTTATCAATTATTGAAATAATCAACTCATTAAGTAATCAATTAGTCGTTAACTGGAGTATAGAGAATCTAAAACATGCCTTAAGCTGAAAGAGAAACCCACTTAGCTCAGTAATTATACCACAATTGTGAACAAAATGTATTAATATTTTGCTTTAAAGATAAAAAAAAAAACTTTCCTCTCTCAGCATATCTTTCCAGAACTCCACAAGTGGAAAAGTTTTAGTTTTCACGGGTTTAATTCTGTAAAAAATCTTCTTTAATGAACCTTTGTTTCTCTGATTATTAATAGATTAATAAAAAAAATAAATAAATCAATTGACAGATTAATCAATAGGCAAAATTATAATCAGTTGGAGCCCTAGATTTTAGAATTTTTAAACTTTACCTTTTTTTGAATTTTCTTCTCATTTTTAAGTTTCTTAAACTTTTTCTTTTTCATTCTTTAAAACTTTTGAAATCTTTTTTTTTTTTTATTTCTTTTTCAGATTGAGTTTTACCAACTGCAATACTTTTCAATTTTGAGGGGAAACCTGCAAAGTTATTACCATCCTTATTTATTTTTTGATCAAAAAGTTTTTCAAAATGTATTTTCTGGATTGCCTTTTCTTCTCCAACTTTCATTTCTTTTCCTGCAAGATAATGGAACAAAATTCACTCCAAATAAAACCTAAAACTATGGACTGGACTTTATTTTGGGCATTTTATTTTTCTTTTTTCTGCAATTATGGTGATGAAGCTGAAGAAACCAAAAAGATAAAACGAAAAGGTAAAAATAGGATCCAAAGTGGGACATTTAGAACAAAGCGTTCGGCAAGTTTCCACAACTAAATACTTTTAAAAAAAGCAGTGAATACGACTAAATCAGATCAGAAATGAATACAAACATCATGTTGTTAAGGTTTTTATCATGATCTTATCCCCCTTATGAGTCAGTAAATTTAAATGTAACCTTATAGTAGGCATCATTGAGATACTGATATGACATTCAGTTTTATACAGTAATAGACGTCAGAATTTGGTAAAGAGAGTTTAGTTAACTGCTGCAGATCCCAGAAACAGTCATGTGTATTTGCTTCCATCCTTCATTTTCCGGTTGAGTTTAGCCTTTCTGTTGGTCCGCCTCTGCATAGGGCTCACTCCTTTGAAAGGCTTTGCTGCGTTTATGGTTTTTAAATATTAATACATTAAACATTTAAAGTCCAATGCGTCATTGACAGCAATGCTGATACAAACACCCCCGCCCCCCGGCTCAATTGTTTGATCAGATAGCTGTGAACGAGCGCGCTGTTCTTTCTAAAACACCCAAGTTTGCTTATTTATCAGACGCATGTTGAAGGTGTGGGCCAGAGCATTTTTTTTTAAAAAGCGAGGAGAAAGAGGAGAATGTTCAGACTAATGGATTCGTGGCAATGAAATTGCTCATTTTATGTAATTTCTATTTATTGAAAAGAGAAAAACATTTCATTCTAGACTGTTTTTGCTCCCTTGTTTTAAAAAGATTCACCTTTTTTAAGGATGGTTCTCAATTTTAATCTTCAGTGATTCAGGAAATGATGCAGCTTGCCTGTTTCTTGCTTCTTTTGTACACGTAATCACAACTAGGCAACTTTTTGACCCTAGTTAAGTGTGAGGAAGGAAGGAAGGAAGGAAGGAAGGAAGGAAGGAAGGAAGGAAGGAAGGAAGGAAGCTAACAAAGAAACAAACAAAGA